TTCTATTCAATTCTATTTGTGATCGAAATAAAAACAGGCATAGTTTATTTTAAGTATTGCTCTTACCGTTCTATAAATCGGCATTTCTATTCAATTCTATTTGTGATCGAAATAAAAACAGGCATAGGTTATTTTAAGTATTGTTCTTACTGGTCTATATATCGGCAATTCTATTTGTGAGATGGCATGATTATCGCAGTCCGATTTTGGATGATTACTACATGAATCTGCATGGCAGTATAAGTCTGTTGTGCCAATTTATAAATCGGCACTTATTTTTTGAAAAATTATTATATGAATCGGTACAATTGGCAGTCCGATTTGGGAAATTATTGAAGAATCAGCAGGTAATATAAAATGTTTGTTGTTCTGATTTATGAATCAGCATGTTTATTTTCATGCCAGCAGTTTGATTGTGATGATATTTTGTAAATTTATTTACAAGTCGGCAGTCCGATTATTATTTGAATCGGCATGATGGTTTAAAATGTGGCATTCCTATTTTTTGTCATTAAAAAGAGGAATTTCTATTTTTAGCAATTCGCGTCATAAAATCGGCTGAATAAAGCCACAAATCGGACAAATACAGCCAAAAATCGGCAGTCCGATATTTGACCGATTTTTACTTATTTGACGTGTGTTGTTTAAAGATAAATCTAAGATTTGTTCTACAGTATCAGGTAAATGTTGAGCTGAATGTAACACTGTTAAAATCATTGTGTAAGTCGTGATTGGTCAACCATTCCAGATATAAAAAAAAGGAGAAGGGTGAGTCACTTTTGGTAATTATTTGTTGTGTCATTGAAAGGTTTTGAAATGTTATTAAAAACGTATCTAAAAGGGCATGTGACTTGATTCAGAAATTTTTAGAAGGCTTTTTGATTGGTAGTTTTTGTTATTGCTTAATCAGAAAGAGTGGCTATGTGTTATTCATGATATTTGGCAAAGGACGTTGGTGAAGGTTGTGTTTAAAATGTTCCTGTAGACTAGTAAAAGTATCCCAGAAGAAAACTCTAAACAGGTGTTTCTTGTGTTGTGAAGCAGCCACGTGCTTCTTGATAGCCTGGTCAAATATCTTGAAAAATGAGGGCCTGTTGGTATATAGATAGAAAATTGTTGTGGAGAAATTCCACGAAATCTTCGTTAATAAGAAGTTCGTTGGTTGCTCTTTCCATGTCCAAAGTTTTGTTATTCCACTTAAAAAAGGTAGCTTAAAAATATCTTCATCTTATCGTTGTCCCAAAGCTTGCTTATTCTAGGCGATACGCCTCTTCAGACCGAATTGAATCCAGAAACACCACAAAGAAAAAGAAAACACGTAAGATAAGAAAAATAATATAGAAAAATAAAATTTCTACTATACTTCTCCGCTAATTAATTACGTTGTATTTCGGCGAACGGACCAATTCACTATTTATTATAAGGGTTTAAAATTTATGCACACCCCCATGGATATATTATATATAAAAGTCAAAAATGACATTCTAAACCCTTCATGGCTCATTAAGTAAAGTTGTAGAATAGGCAAAAATACACATAATAAATAAAATTTTAAGGCTCTATAATATAT